TTTAATCTCAGGCTTCCTTTATGTGAAAAACAAAATTCTAAAGCGTGATTTAACAATTAAATTAATCAACATTACTAAGTGGTATGTCTAATCTGTACATTTTCTATTAAGTTGTAGTTTCTCTAGGGGCACCCGGTACCGTAGTTGGTCGAGTCACTATGCTACAAGCCGGAAGGTTGCGGGTTCGATCCCCGATGAGGTCACTGGATTCATCCAGCCGCACTATGGCCCGGGGATCGACTCAGCCTCTAACAGAAGCTAGTACTAGGAACATTCCTTGGGGGTAAAGGGCGGCCGGCGCGTGAGACTGACAACCTTACCGCCATCTGTGATCCGATTGTCTAAAAAATGTGGGAGCCTCGACGACTCACAAACCTTTGGGCCTCCACGGCCTGTTACAGGGATAGCCTTACCCTTTTCTTTCTGTTTTCTCGAAATTTAATGTGTCCTTAACTAACGAACTGACTGCATGGAGCTGAGCCTCCAGTAATTTAATGAAGCGCAAGGATAAGTTTGCTTTCACCGTTCTAGTAACAGCGCTGCGTTGTCTCGCGTTAATGTACTGTACAAGTTCCCACCCGCGATCTCTGCAGTTTGCTTACTTGCGTCCTTTTTATAAGTGGCATTACACCAAAACACAAAGTGTGTCAGTCAAGAGGAGCTGAATTCACATTTCAACAACACTATAAAGCAAAATATCGGATTACAACAACATTTGCAAAGCGGTTTATCAGAGACGTGGATACTGGAGAAGTCCATTTGTGGCCTTACGTAAATTGGTTTTGTAAACAGTCATAGCAGCAGAAAACCGTTGTGACAGACTGAACGTTATAACAGTTTAGTGCATTTATGGCTCTATGTAGAATAGGTTTTCTTAAGGGATCAGTGTTACTGCAAATCGGGATTTCCCGCAAACTGTTAGTGAAAGTTCTCATAAATCAAAGAAAAGCCTGTCCAACTGTTTGAGCGCTAGTGAAAGTTGTTATAAATTAAAGAAAAGTCTGTCCAACTGTTTGAGCGCTAGCGAAAGTTCTTATAAATCAAAGAAAAGCCTGTCCAACTGTTTGAGTGCTAGTGAAAGTTGTTATAAATTAAAGAAAAGTCTATCCAACAGTTTGGGCGCTGATGCTAGGTCCCAGATAGGCAAACCGGAGTGACCACTGTGTAGATAACGCCAAGAAGAAATTAACCAAATTCGTCCTTTCATTCAAACCTTTTTATAATATTTACAGACACTGATGTTTCTGTTCCTGTTCTTCAGCCTCTGTGTTTTTCAAGCACACATGAATATGCCTCACTGCCATATGTTTATATTTGCTACAGTTAGAAGGTGAATTTGCCCCTGTCCTTAATTAATTATGTACCACCCAGTGAAGAGGTTGGGGCATTAGAGGTATAGCAGCACCCTTCTTAACCTAGGCAGTAGGTGGGGGTAAGTGGTCAACTTCATGCCCTGTGGAGAAAGAGCCCAAAATACAATTTGGATAGGAGGCTGGGTGGTCACAGAGACTTCTGAGCGATGTGAGGAAGGGAAGATATGTCATCCCTGCCAGGAAATGAATCCTAATTTCTTGGCCTGTCCCAGCTGCGATACATATTTAGTACATGCTAATTCAGTTAATATAGTCATGTAACGACGACGACGACATCATCATCATCATCATCATCATCATCAACATCAACAACGACGACGACGACAAGAACAATTTTATCCTTCTCTATATAAAATTCAAATGTAATGGTGAAGTAAAACTCTGAAATTATATATTTTTAGTTTATCACAAGAATGACTGAATTGTCAAATATTAACACTTACATAAATGTAAGTTATATAGTAGATCAGGAACAAGAAAACAGTCTTGTACGTCAGAGTATTGTGTTTATTCTCTGAGTGTTGATACTTCTTTGATATCTTTGATATGTGAAATGTCGTTAGTACTTATCATGGGATATTAGTTTATGGAAATTTGGAAGGTTGCTTTTCTTATCAAAACATGCACATAGAAGATAACCCAAATGGACAATTCATAGGTCTGGATAAGTAATATGATGGCAGTATACCTGTATGACTGCTTGAATTCACACCTCCATCAGTAGCATAATACACATTAGAGTAAACTCTGTCCATATATGCCTCCTTTTAATTTCAGGCATATTCAGCAACAAAATATTATGATTGGCTGTATTGTCTTTGTATGCCTTAGACCGTTATTCTCTTTGATAATGGACCCTGCTAAGATATAAACAAGGATATTTTAGGCAATGCCCAAAACTCGCTGGGAAGTGTATCTTTGCAGAAGGCATGTATAAAGTGGGGTCTACTCTTCTTAAAAAATGTGTGTCAGTACTGTTAACAACTTCTTCGCTGATGTGGTCAACGGCCCTACTTCCTGAGCATGAAATTACTATATTGATGCAACTTGAAGAATCAGTTACAAATTAACGCCTCGACGTATCCTTAATTAGTGATCTTGTACTCCTAGTTGGTTTTGAATAGCAACGATTTTATAGCCTAAGTATGCATGAATCAAGTCACTCTTCATTATAATAAACCTCGAAACTTTACTCTTTCTTCCAGTAAGGAATGGCGTTCTATGGAATCAGCATATAAAAAACAGCTCCTGTATTAATATTTTCAGCAAACCGTATATTTCAAAGGATTGTTTAGTCATCTGATATGTGTAAACTTATGGCAGACATAACAGAGAATATCCAGCGGTGTGGAATTGCTTCCGTACTCTTGGTGTTATGTGCAAAAGCCATGACTTAAAGCTGTGTGCAGGTATTGTTGTAGGGTTTTTTGTATTCAATTCGAATCCTCCTCCTTTTTAATTACATGAGAACTTTAATTTCTTATATTGAGCGTTATTCCTTCTTTAAAGTTTTAGTTACTGAACTGTATAATTGAATATTGAGTACAGCAATCATACTTGGATGTACTTATACTTGTCACTGATAGTTTGGAAGGTGAAATTTTACCCATGGCCATTTCAGTAGCATGTAGTTTGAACAGTCTGATAATACCGGGTTGTTATTGTTGCAGGTGGTTTGTTGCCAAGCCACCGTGTTTCTCCCATGAGCCCTGTAAGAGATGGCAGCAACAATGCAAAGGCAGCAGTACCAATGGATTATTCTAGATATGTTAAGAGGTTTGGCAGTGCACTGGAGTGTGGGAGCACATACTGCAAGGATCTCAATTACAGGTAAATTGTGGAGAAAAGTGCTCTCTAATCTCAGTTTATTGTATGTTTTAATCTCACTAGCATGGTTATTAATTTTAAGAGCAGTATAAATACCCTTACATAGAATCTTCACATTTATTCATGGAAGTACCAGTTATAAAATATCGATTCTCTGTTCCTTTTGCTAAACTTCAAGTAACTGTCACCATTCATAATGAATATTTTGGTAGTAAATAGTACAGTGAAAGTTCTTCAAGAAGACCAGTCACCATTCTGCCCATAAGTGGTCTTTTACAAGGGTGGCCTCTGATTATAAGTTGGATGGGTGGGGAGAATGGGCGAGAATCTGAGTGGTGTAGCGCAGTAAACACCATATACAAGATGTTTAACGACTTTAGGGCATAACTGCAGGAGGTGATTTCCTAGGTGTTTGTGTTAAAAAAAAAGTTCATATAAGCATGTGTCCGATTTTGGACGGTTACCGAGTTATTGCCGTTTTAAACTCAGAATAGAAGGTAACGATTACTGACAATAAACGGAACAAAATAATAAACCAGCATAATACATGATACGTTTAAAGTATGAATGAAAAGTTAACTTCATGAAATTACCTTTAATTTGAATTGATTGGTGCTTACAGCCGATTTTCGAAAATGCCACCGCCGGCCGCAACACAGGCTGCCGCTCGGTTGTGAACCGCGCGGGTAGCACGTAGCAGCTTCAGCTGGCTCTTTCTTATGTGGTCAGCGGCGTCCAGAATGCGACCGAGCAAAGCATCTCGCGTTGCCACCTTCACATTGTAAACCAGTTCTTTCATCCATCCCCACACACAATAATCCAGTGGGCTTAAGTCTGGAGACCTGGCTGGCAATTCTTCGCGTACTCGTATGTGGACTGTGGTGTACCATACGAACAATGCCTTCTTCATTGACATCTTCATTAACACCACGCTCGGCTGCAATACGAACGCCGGGAAGTCTACCGGTATCTCGCAATGCCTGGTAAACTCCAGTAAACACTCTCCGGTTCGGTATTCTACGGTTCGGAAACCTGTGCTGATATTCAGCTACGGCAAGAACTGAGTTACCGTCACAAAACCCGTACACATAAATCGTATCTGCATACTCCTCAAATGAAAATGTAAATGGCATCGTGAACGTAACAGACGCACCGAGATGAGAACTGTTCTGAACACCAGTAGCCGCCACACTAGCCGTGATCGGACATACCAACCCACCGCACCGTAGGTACCTCTCAAGTGTCGAGATAACGAGAACGGTCTGTCTGTAGCTGGCTAAAAATAGCGACCAACCCCCAGATGATAGACGCGGTTCACACGAGGGCGTGTACGGGAATGAAAGAACGGTCATAACTCCGTAACCGTCCAAAATCGGACACATGTTTATATGAACTTTTTTGATCACAAAGACCTAGGAAATCACCTCCCGCAGTTACGCCATAAAGTTGTGAAACACTCTGTATATGCATTGTGCAACACCTGTATTGCATTAATTTTTTCCCTTCAATATTACTTTGCTTGAATAGCAGGTGCAATAGGTAACTTCAGTCAAGTGTTAATAAAACATATGCAGATGTGTACATTATGTATTTCATGCATTACACTACTGGCCTGTTGACTTTAAAAATGCGGAAGGGTGGGGAGTGGCTGGTCTCAGGCATGTAGTCGACATTGCTCTTTAGGCAGTGGTGAACTCAGAAGCTAGGGATGGGAATACCTGGTGTGAGATAGTCTGTTTGAGGATGTTTGGGAATACGGGTTTGCATTAAGCTGTAATGACTTAAAACACAGTGCGTGCCACACAGACATGGTCTTTTAAATAAAGTTGCACTATACTCGTATGTGAAGGAAAGTAGCTAATTGCTTGTATTAATTGCATTTCTTTTCTTGCCCCCCCCCGTTTGAATGATGTGACTTACAGAGCCCATGCTATACATTTATTTGAATTTCCTCTAAATACATGCCAGTAATTTATATAATTTTTAAATTATCCTTAAGCTCGTTTTGCATCAGCATTGCATAAGACTGATGGGAACTTTCTTCTTCTTAACTTTCCTGCATGGGCATGATCAGCTGCTCTGGTTTCATAACTTCATTTTTCTTTTTGATTTCCTTGAACTGATTTAATTGCTGTAAAGTCACTACTTAGTCACAAGTTTAATTAATCTATAGTCTGATTTAACATTTCTCTCATGTCCAAGTATCATGCAGTGTAGACATTTAATATAGTGTACACATTTTGTGTTACGCTCAGTTTAACTTGGCATTGATTGGTTCCTGACTGAATGCCCGCCTGAGTCTGGCTACCTAAACAGTAGCTGTACTGACTTTGCTGTTCAGTCATGTGAACTTTGTGACATCTTACCTCAAAACAGGTCAAAATAACTTCCTCCTCATCATTCTTAATCCTCCATGCTTAATCATGATTGTGTCTCATATTTCATCACAAACCTTACAGAAATAATGTAATATAATATTAATTATATATGAATGATTGAATAATACGAGTAGCTGTTCTGGTGATCAAAGAACTCCTCCTTGTTGGGAAGTGAAAATTCAGTACTGGAATCACCAGAGCCTACCATTTTGTTTTGTACTTTTTCCTCAGTTGATACAAGCTAGCTTCAGGGTGATGTTTACGATGAATCTGTATATGAATGTAAATATAAATGAGGCAAAAAGAAAAAGTCTTCTGTTAAAGGACCTCCAATTTAAGGCGTTTAGTGGACTTTGAGGTACAGCTTCCCACATTATAAGTCTTAGCACCAAAGTATAAAGAGTAGTGATCATCAAACTATGGCTTCACTATTGTCAAGGAAATAGTTCTGTTATCCACTTGATTAGAGGCTCGTTGGGCCCAAGAACTGATGTTAATGTCACGGAAAGGAAAGAATCCCTTCCACAACTGGTAATCAGATCCTGGAATTTACCTCATAGCTAGTCACTGTATTAACTGTGCTGTCCTGGCTCATGACCACGAGTAGTCACACTCTTTTGCTTGCAAAAAATGCACAACAGAACACTGCTCTTTGGTAGGACCCTTATCAAGCACGGTCATCATTTTGACTGCTGAAACTAGCCTATGAACATGCACATGTGTGTCTGCTACCTAGACTGTCATGAAGCTGGGCTGTACTAGTTCCTGCTGAGGCTAATAGAAAACTTATTACGGCCATTACAGCTGTTTTTGGCCATAATTATTGACTCTCCCTTGTGATATAGTATATCCACTCTGCTTGGTCTGTGATAGTCAGTAGCCCTCACTGGTTCTCTCCTTGCTCTGATATCATTGTTTTGTCACAGGGAGCACTTCCATTGCCTGGACTGTAATTCACGGGTTTTTGTCAAGAAGGAAGAAATGATCCGGCATTTTAAGTGGCATAAGAAGCGTGATGAGTCCCTGCAGCATGGCTTCATGAGGTATTCGCCAATGGATGACTGTTCAGATAGATACAGAGGTTGCAGCCATAATCGGAAGCAGACACACTATCACTGTATCAAGGTAGAGACCTTCCTGCATTTAAGTGTGTTAATATTTTTTCACTGTGTTGTATGTTTAATGTATACTTGAAGTAAGAATGTTTGCAGTACTTCTGCCTCCTCTCTCACTTCAGTGTTTGGCTGTTTCTTCTCTTTTCCAACTGCTTCATATCAAAGTAGAACTTCTACTTTCCTTACATAAATAGGTGTCATTGAACAGTTTTTGTGGTATCTGTACTTACTGGACATTAAAGTGCATGACAGAACAATGTAGCTACAGTGTAATATGCTTGGCATATACTCAGGAGATTTTTGGTCTTAACACCACAAAATTATTAATTTTTTTTTTTCAGACTTGGTTTAGGGAAATGTCATTACGTGTGACTGCAAGGTTAGGAATTTGTCATTTTACTCCATGTAATTGCTGGGTATGTACTTTACAAAGGAGGATGTTCTGTGTATGCAGAAATTTTGCACCTCTAGGTCCTCTGTGAGAAAATGAAAATAACTGACAGTTTTATTTATTTATAATTCCATCTTCTTCTCTTGTATTATTTTCAGTAAACCACTTTGCTGCAGTTCATAACTATTTGGTTGGCCTAGAAACAATATGACAATACATTGTGTGTGTGTGTTTTTTTTTTCTGTGCACACAGAAATGAAAGTGTAATATTTTTTCTAAGTGATAGCATCGCTTCAGTACAGTACAATACAGTGTCAGTACCAAATGTATGACAGAATTTGATTTTTATGTTACCCAGTGAAAAATGGTGAAGACATTACAGAAATATTTTTCACTCCATTCATCCTAAGAACAAGAGTGAATCCCTGGATAGAGTGTTTCTTTCTTACTATTGCATTTTCTACCTAAGATAATAAACTGATATGCCTCTTATAAGTGTCTTTCTTTGTTCATTTTATCCCATTGACTAGACCAGGTTCCTTTCTTGACCCTGTCTCCTTGGGTCCCATGAACACCTTGTAACTTGTCTGTGTAACCAAGCCTATTCCTGAATTTACACACTTCAACTCTAAAGATGGAGGCAGCATGTTCTTCCAAAACTTTGGTACCAGCTCACAAAACTACATGGTTTCACAATCCAAAAGAGATAGTGTTAAGAGTGTGTGAATGTGTGATTGTGCATGTATGAGAAAAATAGGTTTTGAAATGTATATTATAAATCTGCATTAATTACTCAGTATGTGATATATTTTATGTATAATTATATTTGTACATAGTGAGTTACAATGAGACATGACCATGATGTATGGAAATATGCTCATGTTGTAGGAGGGTTGTGACAAGGTATATATAAGCACCTCAGATGTTCAGATGCATGCGAACTACCATCGTAAAGATTCTGCTATCATCCAGGAAGGCTTCCAGCGATTCCGAGCCACTGAGGAATGTGGAGCAGCTTATTGTTCATTCTTTGGCCAGCGAACTACACACTTCCATTGTAGGCGAGATAGCTGCAAGTACACCTTCAAGAATAAGGCTGATATGGGTATGTGTATGAAATAGCAGTCCAGTTAAACTGTCAGGCTTAATAGGTTTTCATATAATTTCCATTCTTTGGCTTTATCTTACACTGAAGTGTGATTTTCCAAGTGAATCCCAGGAATTGCACCTAGGAAATAATCAAATATGCCCTGTTTAAGTGTTTCCTTCAGGCTGTAATATCCTCTTTGATGAAACTACTTATTGTGATCTATTTTACGATGCTGTCAGTATGTCATACTAGTACATAGCATTGCATTATAAGATGATTGTTGAATAATGAATTTAAATGGATTTTGGAGGAGGTACTATCCAGGCGTTTTCCTGGAGTGGCTGGAGAAAACCGTTAAAACTCACAGATTAGTCGGTTTCCTGGCTGGGATTCGAACCAAGCACCTCTCAAGTTCAAATCCGAAGTGTTACCACTACCCCAAGCTGCTCGGTGGAAAGTAGTTGTGACCTAACATTAACTGCTGCTATTTTTATACAGTAGCACGATTTGTGTCACAGTGCCCTTGGTTGTAGGGGCTCTCCAAGTTCTGTTTAGAATAAAGACATGACTCCTTAATTGTATCTTATCACATGCTATTGTAAACAATCCATACCCATGCTTGAAACAAGATTTATTAATCCTGCAGTCCTAATACCTATATACATACATACAGGATGTCCCAGGAGTTTGGTACCATACTTCAGGAGCGTACTGAGGGTTCCATATAGAATAACTTTGAAATAGGAACCCATGTCCGCAAACGTAAAATAACAGCGCTAGGGTGGCATTTAAAATCATTTTGTTTAAACTTTGCGCCTCAATGTAGAACTGCATTACATAGAGGAACAGCCATCCACCAGCACTCGTGCCATTGCCAAGATTGTGGGGACATCAGAATCAAGTGTTTGGAGGATCCTGCGGGACTAGCAACTTTATCCATATCATCCAATGCAAGTACACGACGTAGGTCCAGCTGACTTCGTACCACCACGAGTTCAATTTTGTCAGTGGATACTGAACCAGTGTTTACATCAGCCCAACTTCCTGAATCACGTGTTTGAAGCGCAGTTTACAAGGGATGGCTGTTTCAACTGTCGAAACAACCACGTTTGGGCTGGCGAAAACCCCCCAACGTTACTGTAGTCGGTTATCACCAGGCGCAACTTTCTGTCATTGTCTGGGCGGGCATCATTGGCGATCACTTGATTGGGCCTTTCCTCCTACCACTGCGACTCAATGGACTATTTTACAAGGTGTTCCTGGAACGTATCCTTCTGACTTTGCTAGAAGACGTGCCATTGATTGTACAGAGGCAAATGTGGATAAAGCATGATGGAGAGCTGGCACACTTTAGGGATAGGAAGAGAAGGCCCAGTGTCTTGGCCACCCCGATCCCCAGACTTGACACCTCTGGACTATATCGTCTGAGACCATGTGAAAAGCCTGATCTACGATACGCCTGTGGATAATGAATTCGAGTTGTTGGCCAGAATACTTGTTGCATGTGACGTGATCCGTGGGACACTTAGAATATTTGAAAGGGTACGACAAAGTTTCTTGCNGACTATATCGTCTGAGACCATGTGAAAAGCCTGATCTACGATACGCCTGTGGATAATGAATTCGAGTTGTTGGCCAGAATACTTGTTGCATGTGACGTGATCCGTGGGACACTTAGAATATTTGAAAGGGTACGACAAAGTTTCTTGCGTCGATGTAACACATGCATTGAAAATGGAGGGCGCCAAGTCCAACATCTACTCTAGCAAGAAAGTCTTAAGAGTTTGGAGGCAGTAGTATGCCTGTGCATGCTCTTCGACATTGAGGCGCCAAGTTTAAACAAAATTATATTAAATGCCATCCTAGCGCTTCTATTTTGCGTTTGCGGACATGGGTTCCTATTCTGAAGTTCCACAGGGAACCCTCAGTACGCTCCTGAAGTATGGCACAAAACACCTGGGACACTCTGTGTTTAGTATATATTATATATATATGAATGGCCCAATAGGTATATGATATTGCAGCATGTAGACCCCTTACTGGGTAACAACTGCGAAGCAAACAACAAAACAATATCTGCTGCTAGGCAACAGATTCCTAGTAAGCAAATATGTAGTTAGTTAGTTAGTTAGTTAGTTAGTTATTGGAGAGGGTGGGTTTCCCCATGCACTTAGACCTGTCTTGGTCCATTGTGCTTCCCTCTATGATATTCTACCAGTCTCTATATCCTACCGGTACTGGTGCTTACCATCAGTCCCGCCCAGCCAGCGAGACTGGCTCTACTAGCTGAGAGGTATCTATAATGCTTCCC